GAAAATTATAAAATATAATATAGAGCTAAAAATAAATATATACTAATATAGGAAAAAAAATAAATTCTATTACAGTAGTATTAAGTTTCAAGTAAATTCTATAAAAATATAATAGTTTAATAAATAGTTCTAACTACAAGTATTAGTTCTACTATAGTAATATTAGATTAACTGTAAAAATAAGTAAAAAAGCTTTCAAAAAGTTTACTTTAAAATAAAAAAGTACTATAATTAAAATAATAATCTAAAAAGTGTAGTAACCTAGTAAAGTGATCAGGTTGTCAACTTTTCAAATAGTAGGTTAGATGTTCAAATCCTATTAATAATGAAAATTTGAATAATTACTTATATAATATTTATATTATAGCAATTGTTACTAATAATTAGATTAGGATACTATAATAGTAATCACATTAGCATAACTGGCAGGTCATGTAATATCTGTATAACTTGTTATATAAAGAAATGCAAACTGACAAATTAGATAGTGCAAACACTATGTGGTTGTATAAATTTATTAAAATTGAATAATAAAAAGTTTATTTAAGAAGACTCAAATAAAGAAGTAGTTAGATTTTCAATGACTTTACTATAAAAGCTAGTCTGAGAAAATAAACATCAAGGTCATAATACCCAGTTATAGTAGCTGAATAGGCAAGAATCTTTAAATGAAAATCTTAAAAGTACCACCAACCAAGCCATCAGAATAAACTAAAAAAAAAGAATATCAGACAACCTGATTTACTAATAGACTGGTTATAGTTCTATATAAGCTATCTGGATTAAAAATTTGATAAAAAGGTTGGACAAAAAGTAAAGATATAATAAAGTAAAGGCCTGCACAAACTGGGTCAAAATTTAAATTTTAAAAACCTCTCAAAATTGCAGATCTGATAAGATATAAATATAATAAAATATAGGCTAAATTTTTAAAAAACATTGTAAATTTTATTTTGTAACCTGAGCAGATTAGCAAAAATTTAAATTTTTAGATCTATGCAGGTTCATATACTAAAGTACTAGAGTTATACTATGAAGTAGATGCTGAAGTCTGTATGAACTCTACAAAGACACAATGGTTAAATAATATAACTCTGATTGTAAGTATTGGTTTTGCTATAGTAATATCCAAGTTAGCTGTAAAAATAGATACAGAAGACTCTAAAGGTTTACTTTAAGGATAAATTAGTTCTAATGTTAAAACAATAATTTAAGTATTTAAGTATGATCCAATGAATTAATACAGATTACAGATTCAGAGAGTTTAAAGTAGAACACCCAAACAGGAGTATTAGATACAGCAATTAGTAAAGAATCTTCAAATGAACTTCTTAAATAGGTAATATAAAAAAGTTACATGTGTAACTAATTGTACTTTTTTCTGTAGTAGTTTATAGAATTACATTACCAATAAGTCATTAATAATAGTCAAAAGACCAAAAAAGTTAACTTAACAAAAAAAAAATAATAATAATAATCTAGATATAATTTAGTAATATTAATACAGATTGCAGATTCAAAAGATTTAAAATGAAATATTCAAGCAAAAATGTTAAATATAACAATTAGTAAGGATTCTTCAAGCAGTTTTTTTAAATAGGTAATATAAAAAATTATATATGCAACTAAATATACATTCTTTCTGTAATAGTTTATAAAATAACATTGCCAAAAAAGTTATTAATAAAAATTAAAATACCAAAAAAGATTATCTTAATATCAAAAAAAAAACAATTTAATGTTTTATAATTATTAAATATATTATAAAACAACTACTTTGTTCTAAAAATATTAAAAAAAATAAACAAAATTATTATTATTTTTTAATAATTCCTAATTTTAATTAGTTGATCTGCAATTAGCATATCTAAATTAGCAGCAAATCAAATTTGAGTTGTTTTTACTTAAAAAAAATTACTAGTACTTTTTATAAAACTTACTGTGATATAAACACAGAAGGAATATTATTATAAGAATTACCTGACTTTATAATTATTATGATTATGAAGTTATTAATTAGTGAATTAAAAGGAAATTGCATGAATTATTAGATTATTAACTAGTGAGTCAAACAGAAATTGCATGAATTATTAGATCATTAATTCAGAGATTAAATTAATTATTAAGTCATTGATTAGTGAAGCTAATGATAAGTATAAATAAACTACAAATTCAAGAGAAAAATTTGTGTTTTTCTTTTACTGCTTTTCAAAGTTGCCCAAAACCTTATTTTCTTGCTAATCAAAAGGTTCTTTAATATACTAAAAAAATATCTAATATTTTAATAGATTTTTACTATTATGCTTTATATAACATGTTGTCAGTAAAGATTCATAAACAAACTACAGAATTGCCAGAAGAAGAAGACAAAATCAAATCATATTAAAGTGATATATGTCATTTATACATGTTTGTAGAAATATTAAAAAACCTTAGTATCTGGCTAAACTTAAACACAAAAGGGAACAAAGCTGCCCTGATAGAGCATCTTATATGTGTTAATAATTTGACTTAGCCACCTTTAGACCTTTTAAGTAAGAGTAAAGAAAATATAGAAAGTAGAATATTTGTTAGTATACACTGTGAAGAGGAAAACCAAGAAGATAGTCTTCATAAGAAAACCCTATTTTTTAATACATCACTCAGATTAGTAATAAAAGAATCATATATTAAGAAAACCAAAAAGGCAGAAAAGAAGTCCAAGAATATGACAGAAATAAAGGCATTGTTAAGAAAGATTAAATATTTGCATGAGGATATTAATATGATTTTAGAGCAGGTTAAAGCATCAAATATGAGGCCAAAAATTTATAAAAATTAGTCAGAGATAAAGTTTAAAAGATCAAGATATTAATTTAAATATAATGCTTTATATGTGATTAGATATAATCTAGACTTGGCATTAAGTGCCTTATCAGATAATAAAGCAATCTAGCATATTGAAAATGCAAAAGCAAAGATATTCAATAGAACAGTGATTTTAAATGTAGCAAGAAAGTATGGTTAGAAAATAGTAGTTGAGTTATTATAATTGAAACATGAAGGATTATTAGCATATGGTGAAATAATAAAATAGGCAAGACAAACAGCTAGCATCAAATAGGAAAAAAGAAGTATTTGAATAATAGATGGTTTTTTCTAGAGTCAGAATTGTATAAAGAGTCTAGATTAAAACATTAGAGACAAGAGTCCTATTACTTAGAAAGAGAGAAAAATAAATCTCAAAGTACAGAAAAGAATAGAAATAATGCCTTTTTATGCTACAACTGTAGTGGTCTGAAATACTATACAAATAATTGTATTTCAAGATTGAACAGATGCCTGCTAGAAGGAAAGTTAGACCAATCTCAAAAGATAGTTAGATATATTAAACAAAGCAGAAATAACAGCTAATTACTCTTGGGCCCCCAAACAATCAGTAATAAGAAGTTTAAACAAGCCAGTCTTAGTAAGATACTGGCAAGAAAAAATAAAGGCATCATTTCTAATTCTAAGCTGGCTCAAATTTGGAATTCCACTATTTCCAAAAGGTTTACTTTATCTAGTATTACAGGAAGTTTCAAGACAATATCAGTTCTCATAAGAGCAAAAAAGATGATTGGAACAAGAACTAGTATAATTAGTAAAGAAGCAAATAATAGTTATAGTTGAAAAAAGGCCTGAGTAACCAAATAGTCTATTGAAAATAAGACTTATATTTGTAATACCAAAGCCAGGTCTAAAGAAATAGAGATTCATTATAGACTTGTGAAGGTTAAACAGGATATTACCTAAAAAATTCTTTACTTTGAGTGTTAAAAACTTTTATTCAAACAGTAGAAAAAAACTAGTAGGTTATAACATTAGATCTCAAAAATAAATATCACTATCTTCTAATAACAGAAAATGTACAAAGACTGCTAGAATTCAGATTCAAAAAAAGATAATTCTATTATTAAATGTTATAATTCGATCTAAGTTAAATAGTTTGAGTTTTTTTAAAAGTAATGTAGGTGTTAATTGAACATCGGCATTCAATTAGTATCTATTGTAAAAACCATATAAATAATATTTTAGTGCCTATTCAGATATTAAAACTTTAAAATATTAAAGAGATTATATAATCAAACCAGATTTAAAGTCAGAAAAATTAGTCTTAACAGAGAAAAGAAGTTGGAAACTAATCCAAAAACCCAGATTTTATGGCCTGATTTTAGATATAATACAAGTATTAGTAGTAATATCTAAAGAAAAGATAAAAACAACAAAGTGAATGCTAAAGCATTTAGCAATATAGAAGGAAGTTACAGCATAATCCTTAGTCTTAGTAATAGACATGCTAATGAGTTTAAGCAAAGCCTTTGCTTTAGCAAAGATGTGTTGTTGAAGTTTTATAACTTAATTAATACAATGCATCACAAACTCTGGAAATGAAATCAGAAAATAAAATTATCAGTAAGAACAAAGAAGATGCAATTTGGTTATTTTAAAACTTAAAAAAGAAAAATGATTGCCTAGCATGAAAACTTTTATGCATACTTCTATTGTTTATAAATGCTTTAATGACTGGTTAGTTGGTAATACTCTGCATACAGAGCACTTAAAAACTGACATAAAAGTATCAACATATAAATATAGCAAAGCTAAAATCCAAGACAATATGGTTAAGCCTATAATTATTTGAAAAAGAACTTGCTTATTATTAGATCACAGTATTTATAGACAACAAGATCACAAGAAAGACAATGAAATTAGGAAGAAAAACATTATAGCAAAAGGAATATATAAGAAAGATTTGGAATCTTTGTGATAAAATAGATATTTGAATATATGAGTTTTATTGGATACCAAATGCAGAAAATCCAGCAGATAAGCTTACAAGATACTTTGACAAATTAGATTGAAGCTTAAGAAAGAAGGTTTTTGAACTATTGGATCAGATATGAGGTCCACATACCATTGACCAAATGGCAAGCAAACATTCAACTCATCTTGCAAGGTTCAATTTATAATGGCATTATCCAATCACAGAAGCTGTCAATTGTTTTATACAAGACTGAAGAAAAGAAATAAATTATGTTTGTATACTGTTAGGACAGTTAGATTAAGTGTTTCATCATATAATAAAATATTAGGTAATAATAATGATCATAGTACCAATTTGGATTTCAGCACCTTGGTGGCCAATTATGTTGCATCACTCACATTAAAGAATACTACTTCCAAATCCAGAAGAGATCTTTCATTCAAGCCTAAACAGATTAATCAAGTCATTGAAAACCCAAAATTAGAATTTTATAGCAATACAAATAATGTTCTAAGCAACCTTTTAATATAGGCATATAAAATTTTGTTATTAAAATCATCTTATAATCATAAATTAAAAATGATTTGGGAAGATTTTATTAACTTTTGTAAAGTATATGAGTTGGTTATCTTGTTTGCATCACAGAAAAGTTTATTAGCATATCTGATTTGATCAGATATACATGATAGAATGTTAAAACTTTTATTAGTCTTAATAGCAATATCAAATCAGCACAGTGTACAAGACTTATCAAATACTACAAAAAATTATAAAGTAAAAAACTAGCAAAATTGTTAACCAAGCTAGCTGCAAATAATAAGAAAACCACATAATCATGTAACCTATTGATGGTTGAAGGATTAAAAAATTATATGAAAAGCTCACTATTAATGACAGATTATAGAATATAGACATAAGATTGTGCATTAGTAACAATTAGTTTATGTATAATATATAGAGCAAGTGAACTAACTGCTCTTTTTCTAGATGATTTTAGAAAAGAAAATAATCTTTTATAGATTTGCATAAATCAATCCAAAACAAACCAATAAGGTAATAAAAAATTTATTCTATTAGAATCAACAAATTCTAAAATCTGTTCAGTTAGGTTATGAAAACAATATCTAGATGTTAGAGAGAAGTCTGAAAAGTGAACATTTTCATTAATAAGAAATAAAGATTAATAATAAAAGCTGTTAGCTCAATTATTAAATAGATTGTAAGTCATGAGAATTAAAAAAGAGTATTTAAGTCACAGTTTATATATAGGAGATGTGATAGCAGTGATGAAGACTAAACTGTTATTACTATAAATAATAGCCATAAGAGGCTGAGTTTCAAAAACAATATTACTATATTTAAGAACAATTGCTACAACACAAATTAATATATCAGCAAAAATGAGGTTTTAGATATTTATTGTATTACAATACTCTTCAAATTCCTATAGTTTTTTATATATTATATTTTTGCATTAATTGAATTGAAAAATTTGATATTGAATATAGTATAGTTTGCAATGATAATCTAAGTAAAAATAATAGAACCAACTGTGATGTAAACACAGGAGAGATATTATCACAAGGATCACCTAACCTTATGATTATTATGATTATAAGGTTATTGATTAGCAAATCAAAGGAAAATTGCATGAATTATTAAATCATTAACTAGTGAATCAAATGAAAATTGCATAAATTATTAGATCATTGATCTAGAGGTTAAATTAATTATTAGGTTATTGATTAGTGAGACTAATAATAAGTATAAATAAATTACAAATTCAAGAAAAAAATTTGTGCTTTTCTTTTGCTGCTTTTCAAAGTTGCCTGAAACCTTATTTTCTGACTAATTGAAAGGTTCTTTCCTCCCACCCCTCTCTCAAAATAAAAAGAAATAGGAAATTAATAAGTAAAATTCAGCATTTACAGCTATCGATACTATTTAACACTGTAAATTACATCGAAACTAGGTAATTAAGAAGTAATAGGCAGTTGTACCCCAGAAATGGTGGTACATTCCCTGCACCATTCGTGCATTAACAGCTATGTACACCCCATACTGTTTGAATAAATTAGATGGAACAGCTGTGAACACCCCACACTGTTGCAACTAAGTAGTAGGAACAGCTGTGTACACCCCACACTGTTCTTAAATAGGCTGATGACTGGGTTCAACCTACACTGTGTTAATCTAGCAAGAAAGAGATTAGAGAAATATGTTAAAGTAACCACTTTATTAGCAGCAAAGGAGCGGCACTATTCCCATAGTTTTCTACATATTGTATCTTTGCATTAATTGAATTGAGAAATTTGATATTGAATATGGTATAGTTTGCAATGGTAATCCGAGCGAAAATAAAACCAAAAATCTTAAATAGTCAAACATTTAAAAAAATCAAAGGTAGCTATTATTTTACGTTACCTTTACCTCATATACATATGTAACACGTCGCTGTATACGTCACAAACATCACTGCTATACGTTATTTGATATTCTAATGCCTGCAACCTTAGTGACAACACTAATTATCATAATGTTTATATAAATGCATCAAAAAAGTAACTATTTTGACCGAAATGCATCAAAATGTAATTTTGTATAGCAGATAGATACTAAGAGTCTGTCACTACGCTCCAAGTTTGATAGTTTTCCACAAAAAACCCCCCTCACCTCGTGATTTTTATTCAATTAGATCGAAAGATCAAGTGTAGGGTTAGGAGTAAGTCACGTTAGGGGGGAAATTTTTTGATTAATTTTTTTGTGGAAGATCTACAGGCGTTCTAAAATGATAATGTCGTAAATGTCTAGGTTGTTTTCATACGTCTGCGAAACATGTGAAAGAAAAACTTTGCTTTTCTAGGTTTATTGTTGAAAATCACATTTTGTTTATAATATAACTAGATAGCTGCTAATTTAATTGTGCTCTTAGCTGAGATTGAAGCATTTGGAAGCGCGTCGTTGCCATGACTTGCATAGACGGTCAGTTGTGAACATCCTTTCTTTCTATAAATAACTAGTGTTCATGTGATTGA